CAATTCACATTTCTGTCTCAGTAGACTGGGAAAGGATTGTAATTTCTGTCAAGCTTTTATAGGTCTTTGTTGGGGACAATTTGTCTCACTTCCTGTCCTGGTGACATTTGTCACTTGGCTAGTAAGTGAAGGAAAATTTCCCCATGGAGGCGCACACAGCAATAGAAACCTGTTTTCGGGTCGGGATACTCAGCCTTTTCCTTACCAATTTTTTTTTTTCCAAGCCCGTGGAAGCGTGCATCGAAATTAAATACCCCTGTGAATAAAAAAAGTAAATAGTGAAATCACTACACACAAAGTGCACGAGTGTGCTATTGGTCCTCTCTGGTGAGAAGGGCCACTATTTCCTGATCCCCGGTGTGTAAAGCTCCTGACAAGGACAAAGAACGACTTAGGTCCACCTACCCGAAGGTTGGCGGACCCCGATCCTCTGGGACTTGCCGAAACAGGGCCACCGAGTACTAGGTGGAGGCTCCCCCAAAGGGAGACCCCCAAGTGGAAGGAGGCAGGGGGCGGGGGTCCCAGTGCAGGTCACAGAACCTCCTTCCATAACTTTAGGAAAAGGCCCCGAAGGTACTTGCACCCTCCGTCAATTCTGTGAAGTAAAAAAATGTGCAGTCGTATATAATGAATTAGGTGCCAGTGCACAAACCTGGCAGGCTGTCCAGGACAAAGATAAAAAAATTCCCCCCAGGCTAGCCAGAAGGCCTGCCCAAGAGGCATAGTGCAGATAAAGCTTGAGTGACCGTGTGCAGGTGAATCAAGTGGGGTCCCAAACCCAAGTGATTTTCCGGCACTCCCTGAGACGCCACTCCCAGGGGGGCACAATACCGCGGGCTTCTGCCGATCCCCAGCCCTCCGGCCAGACAAATGCAGTCCCATCCCTACCAGAAGGCATTAGAACCGGCGAATTTCCTGCCTACAACTGGGGACAAGCCCGGCAAAACCAGACCGGCGTCACACCCAGGAGGAAAGGAAACCCCTCCAGCACCCACCTATCACCTCAGGATATACTAAGCCACCATCTCCCGGTTCAAAGATGGTGTCGTTCTCCCCTGAAAACTGATAAGAACAGATACTACACTTGATCTTAACCAAAAGGCCGAGAAGCCTTTTCCTTACTAATGCTTTACAAGAAGCCTTCAAATACAAACGATTCATTCTTCAAACATCTCACCAGTACAGAATTGGGGAACAAAGTCTCTTTGGTCCAGCATTCAGTAAAAAGCTTTGATGTCCATGTCCACTTCGTTACATTGTCGCCCTGATGAAGGGATCCTGTGCGGTCCCGAAACGTCGTTATTTTGTACATGACAATTGGTCCGATTTTTATATGGACATCAAAGATATTTACTGAGTGCCGGTGATTTTCTGCTTTCCACTGTTTGTTGCACGGTGCCATCCGTGACTGTCACTGCGAGCAACACTACAAGTACTTGGTCCGGGAGCGCTGTGAGGAGTGCAGAGGAACTTACTATTTTCTATCTTCTTTGGTCCATTCGCAGAGACTCGGCTCCTCCTCCACTGGTCACCACCATTTGGCTTCTCGCTTAGTATTACAAATAAGACCCCAAGCCGTCCATTACAGCTCACCCGTCCGACAAACTCCCAACTATGGACACGTAGTTATAGACTTGTTGTCCTTTGTCCTTTTACAGGTCCGTCTGCTCGGCGTTGTGTCACAAGGGCAACCGGCTATAGTCATCATGGAGCTGATGACCAGAGGGGACCTCAAGAGCTACTTGCGTGTTTTAAGGACGGAGGAGGTACGATCCGGGTATCTTCTGTGGGAAAGTACAACATTTGAAAACGTGATATTGGCCTCCTCATACTTGCATGTCAATAGGAATCTCTAGATCAGTGATGTACTGTATATCCTAATGTGCAGTAGCCAAGTAGATCCATTTCAATTTTACTCATCCCCTCACTATTGGGTTGTCTAAAGCCGTTACACTAAATTGCGCCTGTTTACCTAGTTAGATTATAAGTAATGAGCTAAAAAAAAATCTGATAGTAAGATGAAGTAAAAGAAAAGACATAAATATTTATCAAAGAAGGTCTGCTGGTCTCTACTGAGTGAGTGAAAGACGGAAAGAAAGCCAAGCTATTACTGTGTCTCTATAGCATGTTCATCCCTGCCCAGTTGTCATCTGCTAAACTACTACTGAATCCCTCCTTTTCGACAACACAGAGTATTTGTCCTGTAGGCCAAGATAAGAACTCAAAGGGCTGATTAAGCTCCCTGAGAACACCTGAAGAGTGAATAAGAGGAAGATTGAGCACATAAGAGTTCAGAACCCAGTTGTATAATCTGCAGGCCAGAACCTTAAAAATGGGTCACTTTTTTAATAAATTTGGGGGTTTGTTGGTTTTCTGGAAAATATATTAATGTTAAGGGGTTCAACTGAGCATCTGGGGTCTCTGTACAATAGCAGGATTGAAGTTGTGAGCTATAGGAAATGTTACATTGACACTTGGATAACTTCATCTGCAAAGACCGAGAGCCTTTCCAACTGGGTACAACTTGGATAACAAAGAGGTTCTTGCTGGGGACAAAGAGAATAGTAAGTAGAGGTTTCTCCTGGGGACAAAGAGAATAGTAAGTAGAGGTTCCTCCTGGGGACAAAGAGAATAGTAAGTAGAGGTTCCTCCTGGGGACAAAGAGAATAGTAAGTAGAGGTTCCTCCTGGGGACAAAGAGAATAGTAAGTAGAGGTTCCTCCTGGGGACAAAGAGAATAGTAAGTAGAGGTACTTGCTGGGGACAAAGAGAATAGTAAGAAGAGGTTCCTCCTGGGGACAAAGCATAGTAAGTAGAGGTTCCTCCTGGGGACTAAGAGAATAGTAAGTAGAGGTTCCTCCTGGGGACAAAGAATAGTAAGTAGAGTTTCCTCCTGGGGACAAAGAATAGTAAGTAGAGGTTCCTCCTGGGGACAAAGAGACTAGTAAGTAGAGGTTCCTCCTGGGGACAAAGAGACTAGTAAGTAGAGGTTCCTCCTGGGGACAAAGCATAGTAAGAAGAGGTTCCTCCTGGGGACAAAGAAAATAGTAAGTAGAGGTTCCCCCTGGGAACAAAGCATAGTAAGTAGAGGTTCCTCCTGGGGACTAAGAGAATAGTAAGTAGAGGTTCCTCCTGGGGACTAAGAGAATAGTAAGTAGAGGTTCCTCCTGGGGACAAAGAATAGTAAGTAGAGGTTCCTCCTGGGGACAAAGAATAGTAAGTAGAGGTTCTTGCTGGGGACAAAGAGAATAGTAAGTAGAGGTTCCTCCTGGGGACAAAGAGAATAGTAAGTAGAGGTTCCTCCTGGGGACAAAGAGAATAGTAAGTAGAGGTTCCTCCTGGGGACAAAGAGAATAGTAAGTAGAGGTACTTGCTGGGGACAAAGAGAATAGTAAGAAGAGGTTCCTCCTGGGGACAAAGCATAGTAAGTAGAGGTTCCTCCTGGGGACTAAGAGAATAGTAAGTAGAGGTTCCTCCTGGGGACAAAGAATAGTAAGTAGAGTTTCCTCCTGGGGACAAAGAATAGTAAGTAGAGGTTCCTCCTGGGGACAAAGAGACTAGTAAGTAGAGGTTCCTCCTGGGGACAAAGAGACTAGTAAGTAGAGGTTCCTCCTGGGGACAAAGCATAGTAAGAAGAGGTTCCTCCTGGGGACAAAGAAAATAGTAAGTAGAGGTTCCCCCTGGGAACAAAGCATAGTAAGTAGAGGTTCCTCCTGGGGACTAAGAGAATAGTAAGTAGAGGTTCCTCCTGGGGACTAAGAGAATAGTAAGTAGAGGTTCCTCCTGGGGACAAAGAATAGTAAGTAGAGGTTCCTCCTGGGGACAAAGAATAGTAAGTAGAGGTTCTTGCTGGGGACAAAGAGAATAGTAAGTAGAGGCTCTTGCTGGGGACAAAGAATAGTAAGTAGAGGTTCCTCCTGGGGACAAAGAATAGTAAGTAGAGGTTCTTGCTGGGGACAAAGAGAATAGTAAGTAGAGGCTCTTGCTGGGGACAAAGAATAGTAAGTAGAGGTTCCTCCTGGGGACAAAGAATAGTAAGTAGAGGTTCTTGCTGGGGACAAAGAGGAATAGTAAGTAGAGGTTCTTGCTGGGGACAAAGAATAGTAAGTAGAGGTTCTTGCTGGGGACTAAGAGAATAGTAAGAAGAGGTTCTTGCTGTTCCCCAAACGTTCCACAGATACAGAAAGAAGCTCTAGTAGCCATTTTACTTTAATGCACTGATGACTTTCCATTGCTCCACAGAACAAAAAAAATGTGACTCCGCCATCCTTGAAAGAGATGTTACAGATGGCTGGCGAGATCGCTGATGGTATGGCCTATCTGAACGCAAAGAAATTTGTGCATCGGGATTTGGCAGCGCGGAACTGCATGGTGTCTGAGGACCTTACAGTGAAGATAGGAGGTAGGTCACAGGGCACAGAAGTCCATGAACCCATCGCACTCTAAAGGTTCCAAAGTAATAAAGGCGGGTGCTGCGGCTGTGAACGTCCACCACTTGTTCAGCCTGATGAAGGGGATCCTGTGAGACCCCGAAATGTCGCATTGAGTGCATGACGTTATGCTGCTCTTACGTCAATAAACAGACGTATTTGATTCACTATTTGGAGTGCCGGTGTCTCTATATATTCTATTAGGGCAGAGAGAAGGTCTCCAATCTTATGCAGGTACGCGGGTGAGGGCGAACCAACTTGTAGGAATGATTTGGGATAGGTTACTGTACCACCGTCAGTATCCTCAGGATGCCTCAACTCCTGGCTTCCTTGTTGCCCACCAGTTTTTTTTCAGAGCTCATCACAGTTTCCAAAAGACATAAAATGGTCATCCCACCAAAAGCTGTTATTTCAACAACACAAATTGAATATTTTCATGACTTTTCGATGGTGCTGGTTGCAGAATGCTGAAACCAAACTATGTAGAGGTGGTTCTCCCAGGTGACCATGTCATTGCAAATTGGGGATGGTCCAAAAGTCTATGCTTCAATAAATACCACTTTATGTATCCGTGTCCTGTAGACCAGTGGTTCTCAACCTGTGTAACCTCAAGACCCACATTTGTCCTTGGTCGTTAAGTCGTGACCCAAGTTGCACTGCAATGGAATGCAGTGTGGGCTGCCCTGATGTGATGGAGCTCCATCCATATGTGCATCAACTTGTACAGCTTCCTCACGCGCCCTGTAGTGGTGCCGGGAGCCAGATTGTGATGTCACTCCGGTCCAGGCACCTCTACAGGGTATGCGAGTGAGCGGTAAGCAATGCAAGTATGGATGGAGCTCCCTCACAGGCATAGCCTCAGCCCACCCCGCCTCAACCTGACACTCGGCACCGGCAGCATTTTTTGAATGGCTGCTTGGCGCGAGAACTGACAGTCCTGCGCTAGGGGGAGGCTGAGAAGCTTCTCGCCTAGAAAAGTGAAAGGCACACGGGGACCCACTGAACACGGGGTCACGACCCACCAGTTGAGAACCAAGGCTGTAGAGCATCGGTAGGGAAAATAATAAAATATCATTGTACCATATATCCTATAGCTGCTAATACTAGGCGTGCTGCTTTCATTTCATCCAACATTTCCATGTAGAGGTCTTAAGGACATACTGTCTATGGGTCTTGATGAAACACTAGGTAGTTGGTTTATGATGACTCTGCATTTCTCATTCCAGACTTTGGCATGACGAGAGATATCTATGAAACGGACTACTACCGGAAAGGTGGCAAGTCCCTGCTTCCTGTACGATGGATGTCTCCCGAGTCTCTAAAAGATGGTATCTTCAACCCGCACTCAGATATTTGGTATGTATGCTCAGTGTGGTTAATGGGAATGGCTTCTCTATGCTACAAATTACTTCTCTCCCCGGATCTTGATCAACCTCTACCTTTCCTCGAGAGATGGGAGAGGGACCTGGGGGCCCAGTTTACCCCTGATGAGAGGTCTCGGATCCTGCGGCTCTCCCTGGGGTTGTCTATCTGCAACAGATACCAGGAAACTGGATATAAGATTTTGACTAGATGGTACCGAACTCCCCATAAGCTCCATGTGATCTTCCCTGAAGTACCGGACGTTTGCTGGCGCTGCAGTTCCTCGCCGGCTGACATATACCACATCTTTTGGTCCTGTCCATCGCTATTGAGCTTTTGGACCCAGGTCAGGGACATAATACAGAAATTTACTGATAGACCAATCCCATTAGACCCGGCCTATTTTTTGCTACACCACAATAACATCCCGTTAAAGACATATAGACGGTCCGTTCTTGTACACCTGGTGAACGCGGCGAAGGCCTGTATACCTCTTTTGTGGAAACAGTCGTCGCCGCCCACCGTACGGCAGTGGCTCCAGCGAGTTAACAATATTAAACATATGGAAGATCTCACTAGCTCCATAAAGGGCACAGTGTCTAAATTCTCCACCACATGGTTTTACTGGACTGAGTTCCTCGAATCAACCGAATACCAACTTTTAATGAGCAGTTAAGATCCACGGCATCCACGAGTGTGAAAATAACCTCCCCACCCACCCTTCCCCTGTCTTGTTTCCTTCCCTACCTCTCTCCATTTCCTTCTTCACGTTGTCATACCTTTACACCCCTGACATTATCATTATACCTGTAATGTCGGGCTATGGGCTCCATAAAGGGCTCCATGCCTCGACGACTTGAGTGGTTATATACCGTCCTTTCCCTGCCTTGGCTCACCTTGGGAACGGGCCCTGGCTTGGTACCAGAGAAGCTATGCTTTTTGACTATGACAAGTAGCTGTAATGGGAATTCATATGGTTCAATTGTTTTATGACAACACATCACTCCTTGATTGTATTACCCCTTAATGTATGACAATGTTACTTGTTTTGTACCTTTGTTTTATATCTGCAAAAAAAAAAAAAATGTATTTCAATAAAAAACAAAATTGAAGAAAGGGAATGGCTTCAGAAGTCATGATGGCGCATGGGTTCCTTTTTAGATATCAGTAATAGTCTTCATGGATTACAGAAGCTTCAAGAAAAGTTCTGCGCTTGCATTAGAATCCTGTACAGACGTTAACAATTGCACCCCCCTTGACTTTTTCTCATCTCGGCCCTGATCTTTAGACGTGATTTTTGTTTTTAGACTTTTATTTCTCTATCGTCCATTGAGAGACACGGCTCTGCATAATTCGAGACATAGGGTTATGCCGCTGCCTCTAGGAGATATGGACACTGGGCGAAGAAGCAAAGTTAAAAACCTGCCCACAGGTCATAACCCGTCCCACCTCAGAACCACCAGTGGTAGCAAGCAGTATAAAGGAATGAGGGGAAGGAGCTGTGTCCCTCAATGGACCCTGAGAAAATGATTTTGGGCCTCCAAAAATTTGGCCCTCAAAAATCCCACCTTTCCAATCTGGAAAAAAACAGTTCAAGTGTCCTTTCTGCCATGGCCTCATGGAGAGATTTCCCTTCATTCCCTGACCTTACTGGAAATGAAGGGGAATCTCTAAAATATGGACAGAAGCAGAAATAAATACCCGACAGGGGCTCGAACAGTTCCACCGCCCCATCAAAACCAAATGGTAAGAATTTGACTGGCTCTTACGGGTATCCAACAATTCCTTGACATCTCTGTGGTCATTGCCGTTTCTGCATCGTGGTTCACAGGTTCTGTTCTCTCTTTCCAGGTCATTTGGTGTGGTCCTGTGGGAAATTGCCACTTTAGCAGAGCAGCCATATCAGGGCATGGCCAATGAGCAAGTCCTCCATTTTGTTATGGACAACGGAATTCTGGAAAAACCGGAAAATTGTCCCCTTAGACTGTGAGTATTCAAAATCTAAAAGGCAAAATACCTTTTTAAAGTAGAACTACGGTCCGCCCGTTAAAAGTAAAATATGAGCTGCAGCACTTGATTAAATGTTCATCTGCACTTACAGTTCTCTCTTAGTCCCCATGTGTTGGGGTGGCAATGATGCTGCACTGCTCCAGAATTCCGAGCAGAGTTGTCACCCTCATGCAGGTTGTTCCTGCTTTCACTATGGTAGGATGAGAAGATATTACACGGAGTTTGGCTATTGGCATTGTCACTGATGATTCTCAAGCCTGTAGCTTGTCAGTCTGGCCACACCTTCTCCCATCCACTGCTTTCTGGATTGACAACATGACCTCTGTAGTTGTAAGTGTTAATCGCAGTTAACTCTACACCGATCAGCCCTAACATTATAACCACCTCCCTAATATTGAGTAGGTCTGCCTTTTCCTGACCCATCCAGGCATTGACTCCACTAGACCTCTGAAGGTGTGCTGTGGTACCTGGATGACCCCCTTAATATTGAGTAGGTCCCCCTTCTCTTGATCCGTCCAGGCATGGACTCCACTAGACCTCTGAAGGTGTGCTGTGGTATCTGGATAACCCCCCCAATATATTGAGTAGGTCCCCCTTCTCCTGACCCATCCAGGCATGGGCTCCACTAGACCCTTGAAGGTATGCTGTAGTATCTGGATGGCCCCCTAATATTGAGTAGGTCCCCCTTCTGAAGCATCCAGGCATGGACTCCACTAGACCTCTGTAGGTGTGCTGTGGTATCTGGCACCGAGCCGTCTGTAGCAGATCCTGTAAGTTGTGAGGTGATCGGCCTCCATGGATCGGACTTGTTTTTCCAGCACATCCCACAGATGCTTAATTGGATTGAGATCTGGAGAGTTTGGAGGCCAAGCCATCACCTCAAACTCATTGTGTTCCTCAAACCATTCTTGAACCATTTTTGCATGGTAAGATAAGACTTCTAAAAAGAAGACCGTTATCTGGAGGACACTGCAAGTTTAAGACAAAATGTGGGGAATCCACCCAGAGATAAGGTTTAGTCTAGTCACAAGGGAAGCCTTTGGTGGAGCCTGATAGGCTAAATTGGCCTCCTTTTTTTCTTTTCTTGGATTGTCCAGCAGTGAGATATCTCTTCTGTAATTCCAGACTCTGTCCTGTCCACAAGAGTTTTGGGCATTGCTCTCCAGCTTTGTGTGTTACACCTCTTCCTGCTATATTCCTTATGCCATCAAAAGAATAACAAATCCAAATGAGAATAGTGGGGACACCTCTAAAATGGACACGACAGATGTGTGGACTGGGGAACTCTCCATAGTATTTGGGTTTCGTTTGGAGGGGAGATAACATTGTATTACATTTGATACCAATATTGTCTTTATATCTTCAATTCCAGACACAAGTTGATGCGTTGGTGTTGGCAGAAGAATCCCAAGAACCGGCCATCCTTTATTCAGATCCTGGAGAGTATTAAAGATGACCTGAGGCCCACTTTCCGGGAGGTCTCCTTCTTCTACACCGGCTACCATAAACATCGGGAGTCTACGGAGGTCTCCGACACTGAAGCTGACCAGTGTCAGAAGACCCTTTTGGAAAACCCGCCTTCCCCTTCCTTCTCCAACTTTTCATCTTTATCCCGCGTTCAGCAGGACAACGCCTTGCATGTCATAAACACAAAAAGGGATTCTAGTTCGAACTCTCACCACATGAATGGGAGTGCAAACCACTGAGCGGGTCTTAGGGGGGGGGGGTCTGTCTAGAGAAGACCACACGGGAATGGCAAGCCTACTCAGAAGACTATGTACCGTCATGGTCTCTTCACCGCAAAATACTTTCAGCATGTAAATGCAAAAATAATCATACAGAACCCTCATGATTGTACCTGCCGAGTGAAAGCAATCCTACCGACGTTCTACAGACTGCTGCTAAGCGGACTTTTGTCATGTTGAGTCGCGCGGAGTGTGATGGTTTTTTTATGTGTTTTTATCAGGCGGACATTGTGGTTCTTAGGGTCACTTTTATTGTATGTGTGTTTTCTCCCAGGAGGTGGATGTTTTTATCCCGTTATGCAGCATGAATGTGCCAAGATAATCATTTTGAGGCTGGAAAATCAACTGGCGCTTGCTCTCCTTTTTAGTAGTAAAAGCATTCGTACTCAAGGATCGTGGCCAGTGTGGAAGGGTCGGACGACTACGGTTGTAGGTCCAGTCTCTGCACTTTTTACAAGTTTGTCGACTGTTTATCTCAGGGATGTATCGCGTTTTATTGTGGAATATGTTAATCCTGTCTAGAACGCAGGGTCTCCCCTCCCTGCTTATGTTCTACTGGCATTGCCTCCAGAAGCAGGTGCAAGAGTTCCCTAACAACATTCCAGCTGCAGTTTCCTTCATTTCTTTGCTTTTGTTTTTTTGAGCTGAGACTTGCTGATTTAGAAGTCTGTAAAGAGGTGGGTGTTGGCGGAGGTGGGTGTTGGCCGACGTGGGTGTTGGCGGAGGTTGGTGTTGGCCGACATGGCCCCTGGCTTGGAAGGGTGATGGCCGACATGGCCCCCGGCTTGGAAGGGCGACGGCCGACAAGGCCCTCGGCTTGGAAGGGCGACGGCCGACAAGGCCCTCGGCTTGGAAGGGCGACGGCCGACAAGGCCCTCGGCTTGGAAGGGCGACGGCCGACAAGGCCCTCGGCTTGGAAGGGCGACGGCCGACAAGGCCCTCGGCTTGGAAGGGCGACGGCCGACAAGGCCCTCGGCTTGGAAGGGCGACGGCCGACAAGGCCCTCGGCTTGGAAGGGCGACGGCCGACAAGGCCCTCGGCTTGGAAGGGCGACGGCCGACAAGGCCCTCGGCTTGGAAGGGCGACGGCCGACAAGGCCCTCGGCTTGGAAGGGCGACGGCCGACAAGGCCCTCGGCTTGGAAGGGCGACGGCCGACAAGGCCCTCGGCTTGGAAGGGCGACGGCCGACAAGGCCCTCGGCTTGGAAGGGCGACGGCCGACAAGGCCCTCGGCTTGGAAGGGCGACGGCCGACAAGGCCCTCGGCTTGGAAGGGCGACGGCCGACAAGGCCCTCGGCTTGGAAGGGCGACGGCCGACAAGGCCCTCGGCTTGGAAGGGCGACGGCCGACAAGGCCCTCGGCTTGGAAGGGCGACGGCCGACAAGGCCCTCGGCTTGGAAGGGTGATGGCCGACAAGGCCCTCGGCTTGGAAGGGTGATGGCCGGCATGGGTCTCTCAAGGGATAACTTGCGCATGTTTAGGAGTCAATTAAGTTATACCTGCAGCTGTTTGGGGAATATCTTCAGATGGGCCATCCCTCTAATGATCCTACTTGATTTCCAATGCCCTCAATATTTTAGGTACATCATGTTTTTCATGTCTGTGTAAGTATTTATTGCCTTAGAATGGTCTATCCCATGAGCGGGCTTGAAGACACGCAGGGTCAGAACTGTTCTGAAGCTGCTGTCGGCCTTTCAGTAGATTTCCGGCCTATTTATAAGGGACACGTAGCGGCACGACGAGGTTTCTCAAGAAAGACAGAATTTTTTTTTAAGGAAATTTTGTGCAAAAACGAATTCTGGGCAGAACGCTAAAAGCACCTTTTATCAATGAGATCTCGCACCTTGCATTGCCAATCCTTGCAGCAACCATTGAAAGGGTTATTCACAAAAGGGGGAGGGGTTTGGAGCAGAGGACAATCTAGGACCACATAGCTGATTTGGAAACATTCTCCAATTCCGCTCACTTTCCCGGTTCGGCTTTGTTGTCCTAGATCAGGGGTAGCCAAACTCCGGCCCTCCAGCTGTGGGTGGAACTACAAATAACATGAGGCATTGCAAGATTCTAACAGCCACAGACATGACTCCCGGAGAGAGATGCATCATGGGATTGGTAGTGTCACCACAGTTGGAGGGCCGGAGTTTGGCTACCCCTGTCCTAGATTGTTCAGTTCTCTGGCCTTCTACAAACTCTTCACCCTTCTGTGAATAACCCTGTGAATCTTCCTCTTCTGATCTTCCTCTTGCCGGGAAACACTGGCTGCTCGGCCCTCTCGTCCCCCGGGGGCCACTGGTTGTGTAGAAGGCCCTCTGTAGGTTTCTTCTGTGTTTTTGGGACATAAATCTGTCAATAGTTGCTGCAGTGGGAGGACCCCGGGCTGCTTACACTCCTGGTCTGTCCCGCCTACCAATGGCTGCAATGTGGGTGTGGAGACTATGGCGTGAGCTCAAGTCAATTGGCAATGGCCACAATGAACAATGTCCTGGTGCATCATGGGACTTGTAGTTTGCTCAGGAATGTAGGGAGATGAAATGTGAGGAGGCCACCTGGCTGATCCCTCCTCCCCAGTGTCAGGCCATCCCTAGACTTTATATGTAAATGTGATGAAATCACTGAAGTTTAAAATGACGATAGCTCAGAATATAAGTAGGTGAGAGGAAAAAGAACTGCCGGGGAAGGACTGGAGAAGATTGAAGAGTATCCCGGAGTTCTGCTTTAATACAAATTCCATACACTTGTGCACTTAATATGGTGGAGCACTTAATGGAGATGGCACTCTACTATTTCAGGGCAAGCCTGACAGATGCCATTGTGAGCAGGCGGCTACATCCTGCAAATCTGCTTGTTCGGTAGAACTCCGGCTGTACTCTGGGCTGCTCAGATGTAAGCGATGCAGATCCCATCGACCACACAGCTGTAGTCGTGTCTCTGCGCATCTATCCTCCAAGCCATTCATAAATCGCACATCACCGGGCTGCATTTTGTGTGAATGGCTAGAAGGAGAGGAGACACAAGCACAGTGTTGAGGGTCTGAGACCTGCCTCACTTGCATCCAAGCTGTACTAATCCCGGCATGAGTGGGAAAGGGGGGATGAGGCTTTTGAGGAAAAGGAATGTTCTACTGCTTCAACCCCCAGAAGGGGTCATGTTCCTGGAGTTGGTTCATGTTCCTGGAGTTGGTTCATGTTCCTGGAGTTGGTTCATGTTCCTGGAGTTGGTTCATGTTCCTGGAGTTGGTTCATGTTCCTGGACTTGGGTCATGTTCCTGGACTTGGGTCATGTTCCTGGACTTGGGTCATGTTCCTGGACTTGGGTCATGTGCCAGGGCTTGGGTCGTGTGCACTGTGTTGTGTATATACCAAGGTGGGTCTGCCCACGGGAAGGACCAGACACGACTGTGACCTTCAGGAGATTACATTTGTTGTCATGTCCAGTTCTCCGTTAGTAAATCATCTTCTGATCTCATCTTTAGACCCTTTTATAGGTGGCTCATGGGTTCCACCTACACGTTGGGGAGATATCTACCATACGTCATCTGCAGCGTCAATCAGTTCTGGAAATGAATGTGCACTTTACAGACACTTCAGGCCAAGTAGCAAAAAAAAACCCAAAAACTTGATCTTGTGGCCAGGAAATGTCATGAAGGACATCCCTCGAGAACGCTGATGGTTGGAGTCGGTGGATTTTGTTTCCAGACTTTTATGGTGCTTTCCTAAAGGAACTTTTATCTCCATTATCATCCATTTCCGATCTTGTGTATGTTTGAACGCTGTTGAGCATTGTTACCTGTACTGTCTTCATTTCCATATTGACCTCTATCTCTAGTGCAGATGACTCATCGTCCTTCATATCTTCATCGCTCACATTAAACGAGGATATTGTTCTTCACGCTGACTCCATGAGAGGCGGAAGAGGATGTATTTTGTAACGTTGTCACCCCAAAATGATCTGATACTGTGATTGTTTTATTAAACTTTTTAACATACGATGTGACGGTGTGCGGACATTCCTTGTGTACAATGAGGAAGTTGTCTACCATTCCAGTTGACTTCTTCCAATGTAGACCGGCCTGAAAATTCTCAGCGGAACCGTGACTGCGGCCAATCACCGTCCTGAGCCACCACTGTCCGAATACAATAGCCTAGTGGGGGGGCATTCCCCCATCCACAGTTAGTGTTGATGGGTAAATCAAGAACCTTTTACTCAGTCAGTTCGACAAGTGTTTTAGATGGAACCAAGGCCGGATTGCGAGCCTCACGGACCTGGTCCTGAGGATTTTGGTGGGCCTTTTTATGGAAATGGAGACGGTCACCGGGGCCCTCTTCCTCCTGTCTGGCCTGTGACTTTGTAGCCGCTCTACAGCTTGGAGTCAACGGTGGAGCACCGGGGCCCGGTTGCAGCTGTGACCCTGGTAGATCTGCCACGGGCTCCAAGCTGTACAGAGACTACAATTCTTAGCAATACATTATACAGCAATGCAGAATAACGCCAACTATAGAGGACTACCAATCTCAGTAATGCTTTACAGAGCCGTATGGGCTCCAGGTGGTCATTATGGGCAGTGCAGGCTCCAGTTGTCAATATGGGCTCTCAGGTGGTCAGTGTGGGCCCCAGGTGGTCATTATGGGCAGTGTGGGCTCTCAGGTGGGCAGTGCAGGCTCTAGGTGGTCAGTGTGGGCACCAGGTGGTCATTATGGGCTCCAGGTAGTCAGTGTGGGCTCCAGGTAGTCAGTGCGTGCTCTCGCCAGGCCAGCGGTATGCAGCTCCAGGTGCCATCGGGCCAGGCCTATTTGCAGGGGCGGACCTGGAGTGGGAGCTCCACCCGCCCCTATGTTAATCCGGCCCCCACAGGATTATATGCCTTCACTTCCTGTTCTGGTGACAACTGTCAAATGATGGTGCAGACCCCCAGGACTAGGACCCTGCCTATGGCTGCCTGAGGTGATTTAGTTCTGGGAAGGG